TTTCAGGTAAGGTCCTCTCAGGGCCCTGGGCTCCTCCTTTGCAGCTGTATGGAGTGGTGGTTAAGAACGCCTGGACTGACTGTGGATGTTCTTGCCTGAGCTACGGGTTCCTTCCCTTTCCTTCATATTTGCAGTGGCTGGACAACTAACAGATGTGAAATGCAAAACAAAAGCAAACAGACAAAAGAACAACGGCCAACAGCCCTAATGCCTTAGCTATCTTCCTGCCTAGATTTTCAGTCCTGCCTTCCTAGAATGTACATCTTTTTCTTCTGAGATTGCAGTGATTGCGTGCTGCTGGTGAGGCTACAAGCTGCCTCCGGATTTTTACAGATGGAGCCAAAGCATGTGGCCACGGAAAGTTCTATCTTTTTCCATGCAGGGTGCAATAAATTTTCAAGAGTTGTTTCCTCAAGTGCTACAGCTAATGAAAAAGGAGTTGAGCTTTTACTGAGAAATGTCCTCCCCCCTCGAGCTCCCGGAGCTGTCATTCAGTTTTCAAGGTCGTGGTGAGAAAGGGAGACACAGATGTCCTCAGGCAGCCTGGCTGTCAGGTCCCTGGGCTTTCTCCCCTGGAGGGACAGTACATCTTCACCTGAGACAGAGCTGGCAGTCGCACCCGGGCGTGCATAGATTTACGACTCTCGGGCCTCCTTCTCATACCCTGTTGACTATTTCTATTTCTGCACATTCAGTCTTCTCTAGGTAGTGTGTTTTTGCAAACCGGGCAGTTCCCGGTGTTTTCTCATTTCGTTTTTGCATAGGAAACCTAATCATTCCACATTGCATTGATGCTCAGGACACAGATGTGTACCGAGCTAGCATCTGTGATGTGCACTCTTAACTGAACAGAAGAGTTCTGCTGCCTAGAGGCATGATAGGAAAATTGTTCCGTGAATAATACATTGGAACAAACACACAAGAGCCCCTCAGCAGAGGGTCCTCCTGGATTCTGACAAGTCCCGTTCCGTCACACCTGTTGAACTCCGAATTGGTGGATCCATGACTGGGCTTCTCGTAATTTCCTCATGGGCTGGAGTTGATCTTGTACTCCTTGTTTGCTTGTTGTGCTGTCTTTACTTTTTGTTTCTTTTCATCCTTGTTTCGGTGTATCTCCATCTTGTGGTCCTGCCAGTCGTGTTGATGGCTGCCTTTCTTCTTCAACCTTTATTTTGGTTTTCAAAGCTTTTGGACAAGTGGACTGCAGTGCAGAGCCAGAGCACCCATACTGGCACTGGACTGCAGCCCAACGCTGGAAGTTTCGAGGCATGCAGTTCATTGTCCTCAGTTGCCTGCCCCACCCCATATTTTCAGTCATAACCATGGGCAGTGCTTGCAAGATGGGCTTTTTTAGACTCCCTTATCTATTTCCTTTAACTAGAAATCCAAAAGTAAGTGGAAAGAGATGAGTGTGGAATTGCAATGAAACTGCACTCCTATGCAGCCTGATCTGTTTCAGAATGAGCATGAAGAGTGGTTTTCTTTTCCCTTGCTTTGGGGAATATAAGTCAGATTGTAGGACTAGAATCTGCTTCTTGGGGAGGACAGGAAGTTTTTGTGAGTGGGTTTCTGTTTTGATTTTTTTTGGTACCGAGGATCGAACTCAGGTCCTTGCGCTTGCGCAGCAGGCAGCGAAACCACTGAGCTAAATCCCCGGCCCCATGTGAGTGGGTTTCTTCAATGAACAGCAAGACCCTTGGGCGCAGCATTTTCTCTTTTAGTTTTCTGGTGGTAAAGTAATGACAACATTCCTTCATTTTATACTATTATTAAAAAAAAAAAAAGGCAGCCGTCTATGGTGGTGCACAGCTGTAATCCCAGCACCCGAAGAGGCAGAGGCAGGAGGGTGGCAAGGTTGAACCTAGCCTATGCCACTTACCAATTTAAGGAGACCCTGTTTCAAAATAAAATATTTCTGAAACATCTAGGAATGGAGCTCAGTGCGTAGGATTTGAGCTCAATCCCCAGTACCACAAAGAAAAAATTTTTTTAAAAACCTGTCTGCAAGGGCTTGAGTAATAAAACACAAACACTCTAGCAGTGGTTAATACTGACTTGCTTATTCACTTTGCCTGTGTCCAGAGAAGAACAAATCCTGGACTTCGTTCTCACTCAGAGTGTGGTGTTTGGTGCCTAAATCATGTTGCAAAGGACTCGGAGTTAATGAATGCGAAGACCAACATAAGAAAGTCCCAGTAGATGTGAGATGTTGACCCAAGACAACTGTATGGGTGGAAATATCACTGTTTTAATAACTACGAAATTGCATGTGCGCTTAAGAAAGTATATGTGCTTTTATCTTTTCAAGGTAAAGTTAGAAGTGTGATGCCTAATCCTGAATGTGAAATATTTTCAGTTATCCTGAGGAGTTATATGATCGAATATATATGAAAGCCAAATTACCTCAGTTAGCTACATGATTTCTTTAGTTGGTGGCGATATTGAATGTAGGCCATGATTCTTTCACAATGACTAGAGACTTAGAAGTTGGATGGAGTCACACCTACTCAATGAAGCGATTTTGGCATGAATCATGATGTATTGATATACTCCTGCAGTTCACTGGACTGCCAGATAGGGCTGCAGGAAGGAGCTGAAAAAAGCTGATGCAATATATCATCTTATCATAGAGATGTACTCAACTTACACCATCTGTCACCTACCATCACTGTGCTGGTGGTGCTAGGAAAGCAGCCATACAAAGGAAATGTCTGAGTGCATGGCGACACACAGCACATAAATGTCTCTTGTGTAGTGGAGAAAATGCTCTATTAGAAATTGCATCCATTCATCCACCCATATATCTGCCATTCATCCATCTGTCTATTCACCTACCCATATATCCATGCATCCATGCATCCCTCCATCCATCTATTCACCCATCCATTTATCCACCCATTCATCTATCATAGACCCATCCACCCATCCATCTACCCACCTACATCCATCCAACCACATCTATCCATTCACATCTATCCATCCACCCATGCATCCATCCACTCATCCATCCATCTATCCACCCATCCACTTATCCACCCATCCACCCATCCACCCATCCATCCATCCATCCATCCATCCATCCATCCACTTCTTCACTTGGCAGTGTTGTTGGGCACTTTCTACAAGCCAAGACTAGAAGAGGCCCTGGGTATTCTATTGATGATAAAATCCCCATGGTGCTCAGCCCTCATAGGCCTTCCTGGGCAGAGGGAAAATGTCTCTCAGAGATGAGGGAGATGATTTATAAAAGGACGGATGTTTGCCAGGGCGAGGAAGAATTAAGCATTTGGCAGAATGAATATCTGTGCCCAACATAGACCGGTAAATGTGCAGGCCATGTTAGGGAGTCGTTAATGTGTTGAGTTGCAGTGTAGATGTGTGTATGAATGTTGACATTGGCCTAAGGTTTGTCAGAACTCTGCATTATGGTTTAGAATTGTTAGATCACCCCAAAGTCTCTAGTGTGTACAGGTGGGGCTTTAGGAGGGTAATTGGATCATGCGGTGCTCCGTTAATTGGTGGATTCATCCACTGATGAGGTCATGACTGTGCTGTTAGGAGCCGGGGCCTGGAAGTAAGAGGTGGGTCCCGGGGATGTGACCTGGAAGTGTGTACTCTCATCCTTGCTCCTCTGTTCTCTCTCTGCATCATGGTTGCCACAGAGTGAGCAGCTTTCCTTGGCCATTTCCTTCCGCCGTGATGTTTGCTCCTTGGAGCTGGCAGACCACAGAATAAATCTCCCTAAACCTTTGGATCAACTCTTGTAACTTGTGGGTGTCTGGTCTTGTGTCTCAGCAAGTAGAAAGGTAACTAATCCACTGTGCGTGATGAGATGGGGAAACTGAAGGACGGATACTGGAGGAATTCTCTCAGGTTCACAGCAGAAGTCTATCAGAGAGCTAGGATGAGGGCGAGAGCAAGAAGGATGGACTGGAAGGCAGAGGTTGTCATTAAGCATCTTGCCTACGTCTCCGAGAGCTACGTCCGCTTGCTCTGGGAAGTGGACAGGCAGCCCGAGCCCCAGGAACCTGCACAGTGGTCACTTGGTCATTATTCCCTGTGAGCAAGAAAGGAATTGTGAATCCAACTCCAGACCAAGGTAAAGACTGAGTCTGTTCTGGTAAGGGAATTGCTCCCAAGTCAACTCAAGGTCAGAGAGGAGAGAGTTGGCTTCAAGCAGAAGCTATGTGACTCACTGGTCCCCTTGCTTGTGAAGCTCTGAGCCTCGCAAACCTTGCTCAAGGCTGCAGTGGTGAGGGCTGGCTATGCGGGACAGAGACATACAAATCCCTAGCCTGTGAGTGACCCCAGATGAAGTTGGTTTAGGAAAGGAAGAAGTTCAAATTACCATTATTGGCAGCTGACTGATCCTCTGCAGAGAGACCCCCAAGATTCCCCCAGAAGACTCCTAGAGTTAATAACCAAATTCACCGGAGAGGAGACAGAACTAACACACGGAAATCCTAGTGTTCCTGTACTTCCATAATTGACAAACACTGTTACCGAGATCATCCATCTGTCTAGTTTCACCTAGAAGTTTGGGCTGATCTGAAGAGTATTCCGTTTTATTCCATTTCATTTCCAAAAATCTCAGTATTGAGAGTTGAGAGTTCATTCTGGAAGGGGTGTTGTGTAGCAGAAGAAGAGCCAACGAGCAGTGCTTCTGGGGTGCTTGAATTCATGTGAGCTGCCTCTAGAGAGGCTCAACTAGTATAAATTGGAAAATGCACTCCATGCTCCATTGCAGTTTTTGCCCGGAGCTGCACTGTGATAAGAGGAAGGGTCTGTGGGAGGATGTGCTGAATGTTCACCCGATTCCCCGGGGAGTCCGTAAGCCACTTCTTGTAGATTTGGCCTTCTCCAAAGAAAGGTCTTACATGGGCCAATTAAGCCGTGGTGTTTTGTGATTTCAGATGATGTCGTAAAACACCAGAATGGTGGTAAGAACCTTTTCATTGCCGTTGACCCTTTTGCTGTTTGGTTTTGTTTTTTCTCTGCAGGAATGCTGAGAAGCCATTCCTCCTCTTCTTGTCCTACCTCCATGTGCACACGGCTCTCTTCTCATCCAAAGATTTTGCCAATAAAAGTCGCCACGGCCCTTACGGGGACACCACGGAGGAGTTGGACTGGAGTGTGGGTATGTGACTGCCGCATCTTCTTAAAAAGCGGCTGCCTCCCATCTCCTGTCTTAGGAATTTTCTTCCCTAGGTTCCTGATGTCTTTCTAGACAGCAAGAGTGCTTGCTTTTCTGTGCGAAAAAGGGTAAGCAGAGAAACGTTAATTCCGGAAGGTAAACAGGATGGGGGAAGCATCTTGCGCTCCAGCGTGCTGCAAGTCTGGGGTTGCCAGTGGCGACATCATTCCGGGTCTGTGTGTGGTCTTAGACATGAATGAGGAAAGCAGCGAGCCCAGAGCCCTTGTCTGTCCTGGGTAAATCAGCAATTAGATCTGAGCAATCCCTGTTCATGGCGGACGTAGATAAGTAGGAGATTTGGGGTCTGGGCACTCACAGCTGCCTCTACCCTTGGTGGGCGTATCCAAGCAGTGCCAGGGACTGCACTGTGCACACATTTATCCCTGCATCCCTGAGTCTTGTTTCCGGCTTCTCGGGCTCACTTTCTTACTGCTTTGTCTGCACATGTACCTTCTCCATGTCTCTCTTTCTCTTCCTAAGCAAATCATCCAATTTCTGAGAAACCCAGCACTTTTTTCTTTCAGAGATACTTGGAGGACTTCCTTGTGGAGGCACTGTTTAAAACGTAGCCGGGCAAGGTGGTACACATCTGTCATCTTAGCTCTCTAGGAGGCTGAGGCAGGAGGCTCTCCATTTCGAGGCTACTCTGGGCAGTGTAGCAACTTTGCAGGATCCCCATCTCAAAGTTAAGAAATGCAATAAAGTGACAGAGGGCTGGGGGTATAGCCCAGTGCAAAGGCCCTGGGTTCACCCCCGTACTCTCCCCACAATGCTTTCTGTCTCTGTGCTTCCATTTCTTTTGCACAGCGTAAACATCTCGAGCCTGAGGACGGAAGCTAGGACTTTGTGTGTGCTAAGCATCTGCTCTCCCACTCCGCTGCATCCCTAGTTCTTATGATTGTTTTTTAAACGGAGTCCTGCTGTTTTGTGATCCTCCTGCCTCAGCCTCCCAAGTAGCTGGAATTACAGATGTAGACCACCAGGCCTGGCTGTTTGGTTTCATTTTAAATCATGGAACACTCACCATCTTGAGAAATAAGACGGGACCCTTACTCCCCCTCCTACCTCTTCTCTCTCTCCCTCTCTCTCTCTCTCTCTCTCTCTCTCTCTCTCTCTCTCTCTCTCTCTCTCTCTCTCTCTCTCTGTGACTTCATACATCTGTAGGCCTTTTGTCTTCATCTCAATGTGAAGAATTCGGAGTAGACACGTTCTACATTTCTTCTCCAACTGTGCGCAAGGCCCTAGAATCACAAGAGCAAGCACAAAAGACAAGTACTAAGCAGGACAAAGAAAACCAGAACCTTCTCCGTGTCAGGCTCTGGAAGCAAACTTCACGGTGCTCTGGACCTGTCCGTCCGCCAACACATGCCGGCTTCCTCACGTTTTATCCTTCCTGAAATCTGGCATAGAAATCAATTTACATTTTCCACACCTTGGTAGTGTAAATCAGAAGCATATTTTGTAGTGTGAATCAGCAGAATATTTTATGTCTTTAATGAGTGCTAGATTTTAATGTGTCAGGTTTCTTAATAGGAATATGAATGCGGTTGGCTAATATGTACACACTGGCATCATCACACTTATTAATTTTTATTTAATTATAATAGCACATATACCTACTCATGCATTAAAAAGTTTATCTTGCAGTGTTATGCTATCACTAGCTTTCCCTCTAGAATATTTGGAGCTTAGTTTTCAATCTTTGAGATCTATGTTATACCCAGATGTTATATTTATATATATTTACTTATAGCTTTCTTTCTCTCATTCTTTCTTCTTTCTCTCTCCTTCTTTCCCTCCCCTTTCTTTCTTTCTTTCTTTCTTTCTTTCCTTCTTCCTTCCTTCTTTTCTTTTTCTTTCTTTGTTTCCTTCCTTCCCTCTTACCTCCTTCCCCAAATAAACTCCTTTCCGTATGGCATTCCATTAATTTCATAGGAAGTTTTTGCTGCTTTATAAATCCCACTCCTCTGACTGTTTTCAAAAACATTACTTCATTTTTTTTTTTTTCACAAAGGACCTTTCTTTCTTACCCAGAAGCGGACTGTGGCCTTGTGCATTACCATATCATAAAATGAAGGTGCGAGTAGGAAACCATTCCATAAAAAGAAACCATTCCCGTGACAAGGAAAACCGAGCCACAAGCAGGGACTACAGAGGGTCCATCTCAGTGATGCAGTGTTTTCTTTCAAAATGTTTTTCTTCATTTTTAGTTTTTTACTTTATTTTTAAGTGACCGCATGTTCATTATACAAATGAATGAGTTTCATTTTGGTCAGTTTCTATGTGCACAAAACACGCTTGGATCCTCGTCTACCACCCCCTTGCCCCTCTTATGGTCTTAGCCTCTTGTCCTCTCCTGTATCCCCCTCCTCTTCCAAAATGTCTGACCGCCCTGCGGTGACAGCCTTGTCCCCTGTGGGTCCCCCTGTACCCGGCAAGGTGTACTCCTAACGTGCTCCTGTACTTTATTGCTTTATTCTTAGATATGTGCTTGCCCTGCGTGGCACTCCTGGTAGCTGGACAAAGGTAGACTTCACAGCTGGGGCAGTGTTGCAGAAGGGGCCTGGCAGGCAGACCTTGCCATGCTGGGAGTGGTGCTGCGTGCAGGAGAGGCTGAGCGTGTCCGTAGTGCTTAGGGAGACTGCATGTTGTGCACTCACCACACGCCTGGCCCCGGGTGCCCCATCCATGCATGCGTGCCCTCCTTTGGGCTCCCAGGGGTCCACGCAGCAGGTAGCACTCATCATGGCCTTACTACAGGTGAGGCTGGGAGAGGGTTCGCCCTCCTTCCTGGCTCCGTAATGGTGAGCAGGTGTTCCAGGCAGAGGTGGCCTCCGCGGCCTGGAACACACATCACCTTCGTGCACCGTAGCCTCTCACGGTCAGCAACAGACTCCTGGGAAAGAGGCAGCTCGAGCAGGACTCACTCCCTGCGTGCCTGCGGAGTGCCTCTCGCTTTGTAGGGACTCAGGATGGAGTGAGTAAGGATGAGACTCTTGGCTGCAAGGAACGTAGTGGCTGCTAAGGGGGGTAATATGCTCCCGAGAGATGTGAGAGTGACTCAGGGCAGAAGGTGAGGGATGTCCTAGGGAGGGGCCAGGTAACGGGCATGAGCAGCTTTGGAGAAAGAGGAGGGGTGGGACAGCATCCTGCTCACAGCAGCAGCACGTGCACACCACTGTGGGGTCCCTGGGCCTTCTGGCCACGTCTGAAATTCAGTCCCCATTCATTTGGAAGCAGCTGAGCACTGGGAGGAAACATGGCGTAAAATCGCAGCTTGCAGCGTTGCACTCAGCACTCTGGCGTGCGCCATGCTGGCTGTGGGCCACAGGGCCTGACACTGGCTTCAGACCCCTTGGTGTGGTTGGGGACCGGGGGCAGGCGGAAGGAGCCACAGGGATGCACGGTTCCTGCTGGTGCTCGCCTCTTGGCAGCCTATAGTGTGTCTGAGGTGGAATTTGCATGCAATCAGCATTCATTTCCAGTCTCCTGCTACTAATAGAGCCTCGTGGAGGACTTGAAAAATCAGCCTTTGCACAGGATTAGACCAGCAAGTTCTGTATTGTTAGGAAGAGGAATGCACGCCAACAGTGAGACGGTGAACACTAAAACAAAAATTTGTACCTACCACTGCTGAGGGCTGGGTCCAGTTGTATTTGTGAGACTCTCCCCTTCAGATAAGGACAAGGAGTCTTTCTCCAAAGGTGGAAAAGGAATGAAAAAGCAGCAGCCAGCTGGCAAGCGTCCAGGAGTCTTTGTGGATTCGGTGTTGAGTAGCTCAGGGTCTGTAGTTTGGCACCACACAAAGGCAGGTTCCTCAGTTCCTCCTCTTTTTTTTTTTTGTACCGGGGATTGAACTCGGGTCCTTGCGGGTCCTTGTGCTTACAAGGCAGGCGGTGGAACCTCTGAGCTAAATCCCCAGCCCTGTTCCCCCTCTTTGATTCCACACACGTCTCGAGTCACCGGCTCCTGAGATCTGGACAGAGCCAACTTCTCTGGGCACAAAGAATCAATGAAGGGAGGAAGTAAGGGATGCATTTATGACAGAAGAGCTGGGGGAAGGGACAGAACCAAGTTCTCTTTGTCGGGCTCATGTAGGGTTAGATGTGTGCATGTCCTGAGGGCTGGAGAAAAGTTTGAAGGGCCTCATTCATGAGAGTTCAGGAGAGCAACAAGATCGTAGAGACTCGCAAAAGCTCTGCCAGCAGGGAGCTTCAGTATTGGTCCCATCCCTTCACAGAAGGTGTGATCGACAAATATGGTGAATGTTTCGATTTTTTTTTTTTTGAAAAACTCATTACAGTGAAAGACTCATGGCCGTGAATTTCCCCCAAAGTCTTCCCCCTCACTTCCAACACACTTGTCTCATCATTCTTGCCACTTTCTGGAGCATTTCTGGAAGGCTTCTTTCTTGAGCGTCTTCATGTGGTATGATCAAAATTACGGTGAACACCACTGTCGCGTGCCATCCAACAGACAGGCTCATAAAAGCATCATGGTGTGTCCTCATCCACATTATTCACTAGATCTGTTACTTTTGGCTTTTCCCCCAAATCGAAATGACCACTAAAAGGAAATGCTTTGAATCCATTCAGGACATTGAGGCAGCCACAACAGTGCAACTAAAGATGCTCAGGAGAAAGGAGTCCAGAGTTCCTTCAGAAAGTGGCCAGGACCATGGGATGAGTGTGTTTAAACCAAGGAGGAGGATTCTGAGAGGGATTAATGGCAAGGTGTCTTTTACTGTAACAGATATTTTAAAACTTAAATATTTCCATTGTATTTCAATCACACCCCATACAGCATAATTCTAACCAGGGCTTCACTTCTTACACATGGTTCTGATGAATAATCCACTCTAAAATGGACCCTTTTTAGGACCGTCAGACGAAAGTAGTTGAATAGAATTCTGCATAGAATTCTGCATTCACTGAATAACCTCT